CGCATTCTCTGGCGTTCAAGTTAGCCAACATGCAACTCCGAGATCATTCAGTTGCTGTGAAAGGTTCTGTCCCGCCCCTTGTTGTTCAAGACCCCCCCGAGCCTTCCAAGGTCCTCGAGGTCGTTGCCATCCGATTCATCGAGGATGATATTGTTCTGCGGAGCCTGGTGTGCTTGGAGGAGGGGAAGACGGAAGCGGGGGGGCGGGAGGAGACACCCCTTGACCGAGTACGGAGGGCAGTATGGGGGATGCTGTATGCCGATGATGCCGGCGTCGTATCGAGGTCTGCAGAAGGACTGGCGAGAATGATGACCATCATCGTTGAGGTGTTCGGGGAGTTCGGGCTAACGTTGTCGGAGAAGAAGACGGAGACGCTCCTGATGCGCGCGAAGGACAAGCCGACTACATCACAGCCCGCATCGCCTCCACCACTGACCATCGAAGCCGCGGGACAGAGATACGCCCAGACGACCGAGTTCCGGTACCTCGGTGGCCTCGTCAACGAACATGGCGACCTCACCCGGGAGATCAACTACAGGAGCAGAGGAGCGTGGGCGTGCCTCAGGCGATATGGCCGGGAGCTCTTCGACAGACCGCAAGCGCCATTCCGACTCAAGATCCGCCTGCTCCAGGCGGAGGCGATGGAGGCACTGCTGTACGGCTGCATGACATGGTCACCACTCAGCGGCCACTAGCAGAAGCTGCGGTCGATACACCACCGACTGCTCCTTCGAGTTATCGGGTACAAGCGCAAGAAAGACACCTACCGGCAGCTCTCTTACGCCCAGACGCTGAAGAGGGTCGAATGCCAGAGCGTTGAAGCCACGATCCGACAACGACGCCTACTGTTCGCGGGAGCATTGGCAAGGCAGCCGGACGGGCGAATCCCGAAACGGCTGATGTTCGGCAAACTGGCAGGGGGGGAGAAGCGACGTAGGGGAGGACAGGAACAGAACTGGCCGAAGTGTGTGCTCGACGACCTGAAGGCATTTGGGGCCGACCACGGATCTACGAAAACCGATCCATGTTGTCTCGGAATCCCGGTACCGAAAGACACGGCACCGAAGTTAAAGTGGACGGAAGCCGCGAAGGTAGAGGGGGGAGTACCCTGGCATGCGGCGGTGCTGCAGGGAGCTGAGAGGTTCATGACCTCCTGGCACGAGAAGGAAGAAGAGGCCAGCCGACAACGGGCGCTCAAACGAAACCACAAGCCACCAACCAATGGGTCGGGAGGGGGGCAGGAGACGGACGAGACGGCGAGGGAAAAAAGCAAACGAGAAGAGACGGACCGAGTGGCGTGATACGTGCCGGGTTGAATATCTTTTAGCCAGTCCCCCCCCCTCCAACGCTGCACCATTGCACCAACCCCTCACTAGTGATGACGTACCATTACAATGTATCGCTGGTTGGTGGCCATGTTTGCGTGTTTGCTTGTCGTTAGTGGTCTCTCCACCGTGTGCCTTCTTCTGTCTCTTACTTCTTGTTACTTTCGGCCTGGTCCCTTTTTTTTGTCCTCGCTCATAATATTACAGTTTGTTTCCTTACTGTTTCCTTTTATTTTCTTCTCTTTTTCTCTCTTTTTATCTTTTTCTCTCTTTTTCTGTGCCAGATGGCCTTTTTTCTGCTTGCGTTGTGAAGTACCAAGATTGAACCAAGGGGGTGTACCTCATTCTCTCCGGCCCGTGATGGTGACCCCTAGTCTCAGTTGTTACCTCGCATAGCGCGCAGAGGGAGTGGAGGACTCCAGAATATCTGTCGTTGATTTCTATTGACTTGCGGACCCCTCGGGGCCATTTTATTTGAGTGTACCTTTTTAGGGTAAGTTAGCCTGCGACCACGGGAATCGACCGCGTCGAGTGTTGTATCAGTACGCACATGCGAAGGTACTGGGTAGAGAGAGATCGGAACGGTTTTTAACGTGACGACGACAACAACAACAACAACAACAACAACAACAACAACATTCTGAATAGTGCAGGTGCCCGCTTTAGTGCAGGTAAAATTTCTGGACACACCCCTGCACTATAGAGGGCCCAGTACTGCAAATATTTTGGTTCTAAGAAACAACGCACACCCCTGTGCCAAGACCCCGATATTGTTGTTGTTGTTGTTTCTCACATTAGCTCTATAGCCCACAAAAAATGGGGAGCCCGTGGTCTCGAAACCCGGCACATACGACGCCGCGGGGAAACAAAAAAAAAATCGGGTACAAACCACTCCGAACAAGAAAACAAAATGATAGAAAGAAAAGAACAGGTATCGCACCGACCGTTCGAGAAAAGAGCCCTCGGAAACCGATCAAAATAAAACAAAAACAAAAATAATGGAGGACGCTTCCCACACCCGCCTAAAAAATCAAAGGGTGACGTACCAGCACCAGGCACTACGCACCAGGGCATGGGAGCAACGAGGCCAACAGAACAAAGAGGCGGCAGATGGGCAGACAGCCAGACGTACAAAAACAAAGGCAACAGCAAAGCGAGATCAAGATACCCAACACAGCAGAGTAGCCAGGGAGGACATGAAAAAAAGAAACACAGCACAGAGGCCGAAGGCAATACAAAGGACATACATAAAGGAGTGTAGCATACAGCAGGGAAGGAAACCGGGTGCAACAACATCAGCCGGGTACATAGTTCGCCACAAGTGCTGCCTCGGCCGCCCTACTCGCTTCTACAG